CGGTGGGATGGGGTCCGGCGCGCTGGACAACCAGACCAACAGGGCTGCATCCCCCCCGACGCGCCGAGCGGCGCTACTGGGGGCCGGGCCGCATTGGTGTGGCAGTGGCCCGATCCCGGGGAGAGCCGAGCTGTGACCCTCTGCCCCAGGCTCAATCCCCCAACCAACCCCGCAACCTCTGCCCAGGCAGCCCGCCCGCCCACGCGCCCATCAACAGCACCCGGCCATGCGCCCCTCCCCCCGGAACGCAAACACACACACACACACACACACACACACACACTGCACCCAGCCACGAGCTCACCCTGCTGCATGCGCGCCGCGGCCTCGTGGCGCCAGAGCTCCTCCAGAGCCTCCTGCAGGCTGGGGGCCAGCTCGACCTCGTCATGGGGGTTGCATGGCGGCACAAAGCCTGGAGGAAATAGGGCGCGATGGAGGTGGGATTGAGGAGACAAGAGGCGCGGCGGGTGGTTGGCAGGGGTTGGGAGCGTTTGGGGTGCGTAGAAAGGGCACAGCTGGGGTTGAGGGCGGCAGGCAGGGCGTGCTGCCACGAGAGCCGCATGGTGGCGTTTTGCGAGCAGCGGCCGCGCGCACGCCGCAGAGGCCGGCTAAGGGGGGGATAAGGCGCCCCTGTTGAGCAGGCGAGTCCCGTCGTGCGCCCCCGTCCACGCCCACGGCCGACACGGCGCACACACGGGGGGTACCTCCGGAAAATTCGGCGCCGCTCGACGAGCGCACCGTAATGAAGCAGGAACTCGTCGTTGGACCCCTCAAAGTAGCTCAGCAGGAGTGGTTCGCCCTCTGCCACGTCGCGCTTCGCGCTGACGGCCATCTCCCAGCCGCCGGTGGCGTTGGAGGGGCTGCCGGGCGCGACAACGTCCCACCTGCGGCGCAGAATTTGCCGTTGAGCGGACTTTCTGTCACATGTTGATGATAGCACGAGCTGTTCTGGATTAATTGCAAATAGGGTCGATCTTAAAATTAAGAGCACCCTCGTACGATGCAGGGTGCACCTGCCCCGCTGCGCCGCCGCCGTGTATCAGCATCCCGCAACCCCCAGCAAAGGGCCCCTCAGCTGTGGCCGGCAGGCGCTGCAGAGAGCTTCGCGGGCGCAGCTTCGAGGCCGAACAGCTTCCGCTGCTCGTCCAAACCATGTGCGGCGCCCGTCCGGTGGCAAAGCCGATATCAACAGTGAGACGCTCGCGACAGCCAGCCGAGGCCGGGGCCGCCGCCGCACCTGACGTTGTCGCATGCGAATGACTCATCGGTCAGCAGCCCGGCTGTGCGGTCGCCCGCGTGGTTGAGCATCTGGGGGGTAACGGCAGGGGGCCGCGCCGTGGCAGCGCGTGCGTGAGGCCGGCTGGACGGTTGCAGAGAGCAGGGTGCGCGGGCCGGAGAAGACATCGTCCCGGGCTGGGCCGCGAGTCGCGCTCCCGGCTTGGGCGGGCGCAGAAAATCGACGCGCCCATGCAGCGCGGCATTGTCAGGGGGCCTCTGCCACTGAGAGCAGTCAGAAGCATGCCCCTTTCCACACGCGCCCCTGTGGACTGCCAGCTGCCATTGCGGACTGCATGCTGCCCTCTGAACTGCCTGCTGCCAGCAGAAATGCTTCGGGCCCCGCAACGTGCCTTGGTTGACCGCAGGGGCAACGAGCGGGGCAACTCACATCAATCAGGGGCACCATCATGCGCACGCCGATGCCCCCGCCAGGCGCAGCGTTGCCAAAGGTCCGAGACATCACACACTGCGGTCGCAGGGGGGAGGGGGCGGGGCTGGAGAGTGAGGGGAAATGCATTTGGGAGGTGTTGCAAGCCGGGCAGACGGTGGTGGTGGTGGAAGAGGGGGGGGTGGGGAATTGCATGGCCGCAGGGAGGGTTTGGAACGGCACATGTCCGTGTCCGGCGCGAGCAGCTTCGCGCCTCGACAGCCGCACCCGTGCCGCCGCGGCCCCCGGCCCTTTGCTCACCGTGTGCGCCCATCTGAAGCGCTCCAGCGTCGCGCCGCCGATCGCCGCGCCGCCGTCGCGGCCGCACGCTTCCGACCACTTTGCCCTCATGAGCGCCGGGTGCGCCGCGAGTCGCCCCATGGCCGGCGGGTACTCAACTGCCTCAACCGCCCCTGGGACTTCCGCAAACGCGTCGAGAGCGCTCGGCACATGCTGCGGCAGCGCCTGCGCGCATGCGCATGCAGACGTGCGGCACGCGGACGAGGTTTGTCTCCAGCAGCGTGGTGGGCGCCGGCGCTTTTGCCGGGCACGGCGCGACGGGCGGCAGCCATGCGGCGGGCCGTCGACTCTTGCTCGACGCACGCACTCGCATGCAGCCGAGCTCGCACGCCCTCCCGCTCACAAGCACGCTCGCCGTCAGTTGCGACCGCTGTGTGTATGAGCATCCAACAAAAACGTATTTAAAAACGTATGCGAACAGCCCATCCCGCGCACCTGTATGTAAGGGTGCCACGGGCTGTCCGCCCCCTGCGCCGCGATGGCCAGCAGCTTCCCCGCCAGCCGGTCCTGCCACAGCCGCCCGCCGCCGGGCAGCGCCGCGAGCAGCTGCGGGTCGTCGACCGCATCAGTTATGGCCAGCCGCAGCGGCACGCGCAGGAAGGCCTCGCCGGCGGCGAGGGGCTGGGGGCGGGGGCCGCAGCGGGGGTTTAAAGAGGCAGTAAGCGGGCGGATGGGCCGTGGTGACGAGGTCAGGTGGTGTGAGTGCTGCGACCCACAGTTGAGCGAGGTCCGCACTCGCGGCGCGGATGCGAGCCCGATGCGCCCTTGACGGATGAGCCTTGACATTGCTATATTGATAGACCATGTCAGCAGATGTGTTGAAAAGCGCCGCGGGCGCACCTGCACGCAGCACAGCCCGCGCTCCCCGTCGTCCTCCTCATATAATGCGACCTTGCTGTCAGCGGCGCCAATGCCTTGCACTCCATTGGCGATTAGAAACGCCAAGAAGCGCTCCAGCACGGCGCCTTGTGGCTGCTGTTGCTGCTGCGCCTGCTGCTGTTGCTCCTGCTGCTCAGCTGGGGCTGCTGCGGCGGCGATAGAGCTCGGGTGGCGCGCAGAGCGGCGAGCTGATGCTGCAGGCGACGGCGCTGTAGCACGACGGCAGGTAGGCGCATGTGAGCGAGCTGTATGGTGGCTGTAGCCCACGATTATTTGCCTGCTGGGCCAATGTACGGGGCCTTCACATTGCTGATGCGCACGAGCACCCAGTGCTGAGGTGCGCAGATGGCCCAGCATATTTCGGCTTCCACATACATACACCGTATATGACATCTGATGATGTTGGGTTGGTCCCAGTCGGTTCACTGATCAGCTTGCATTGCAACGGGTGACTGCCGAAACCTCAGCACTGGTTGTTCTTGTTTTGACGCAAAGGAAGGGACTCGCTGACGTCTTGGTTGCATACACGCGCATATGTTACAAACTGCTTCACCACACCGCTGGGCACAAATTGTCCATCGCGAGCTGCTGCGACAGGCCTCTGTAGCGCGTGGATTGCGTTGATAGAGGCTCCAAAATTGGTTTGTCTCTACAAAGCTCGTTGCCACAGCAAGCCGTCGCGTCCCATCGCCGTGCCGCTTGACGCAGCCGCCGCACCGCCGCCGCCTGCACGGCTGAACCAACGGCGCCGCGCGCATCAAGCCGCCAGGCTCCCAGCGGAACAGCAGCAGCAGCCACGCCGCGGCCCCCAGCCTCCACCGCCCCCATGGCGGGCCCCGCCGTCGCGTCCTCGTCCGCGCCCGCGCCCGCGTCGGCCACCGCGGCCGCGGCCGCGTCGGCTGCGCAGCAGCTGCCCGGCCTCAAGCGCGACCAGGTCGACCGCGCGGTCGCGTCGCTGCTCAAGCACGTCGCGGACCAGCGTGCCAAGGCGGCCTCCACCCAGCTCTTCGACGAGGACGAGATCATATACCTCACCATCGCCCTCAAGCGCAGCCCCCACCCGGGCGGCCCCAAAAAGCTCAAGCCCGTCCGCATCCCGATCCCACATCCTCTATTCAAGACGGAGGGCGCGGAGGTTTGCCTGTTTGTGAAGGACTCAAAGGGCGGAGAGGGCCACAAGGCCGCCAAGGCCCGCCTGGCCAAGTTCACGTCCAAGGGCGGCGTCTCGAAGATCATAGGGCTGTCGAAGCTGCGCACCAAGTACGAGTCGCACGAGGCGAAGCGGCAGCTGTGCGGAAGCTACGACCTGTTCCTGGCGGACGAGCGCGTGCTGCCGTCGCTCCCGAAGCTCATCGGCAAGTCCTTCTTCAAGAAGCGGAAGCAGCCGATCCCGATCGACATCCGCGCGGCAAACTTCCCGGAGCAGGTGCGGCGGGGCCGTCGGGCTCATCCCACACACCCCTCTCCTACATCTCAATCCGACGCGGCTGCGCTTGCAGCGAGGGCTTTAGCAGCGTGACGAGTCAGCATGGGTCTCTCTCACTCTCGCTCCTTCTACTTCTCACCCTGAGCAGGTGGCGCGCGTCGTCGAGCGCAGCACGTTCATGGCGCCCCCGGCCGGCTCGTGCGTGACGCTGCGCGCCGCGCGCGAGGGCATGGGCGCGGCGGCGGCGGCGGAGAATGTGCTTGCCGCGCTGGCGGGCGCGGTCGCCAAGGTGCCCAAGAAGTGGTCAAACGTGCAGGCTGTGTACATAAAGACCGGCGAGAGCGTGGCGCTGCCAATTTACCAGACGCTTCCTGATAAGCCGGTGCGGATCGAGGGCGGCGGCGGCGGCGAGGGCGGGGCGGCGGAGGGCGAGGAAGACGAGGATATGGAGGAGGGTGGCGAGGAGGAGGAGGAGGCGGCGCCCAGCAAGGCTTCGAAGGGGAAGGGGCAGCAGCAGGCGGCGGCGCCGAAGCGCAAGGCTGCGGCGGCAGCGGCGGCGGCGAAGGGGCGGCAGCCCAAGCCGGCGCACGGCGGGCGGCGGCGGTAGACTAATGCCGGCGCCCGCGCGGCGCGGCCGTGGCCGTGTGCCGCGCGGGCGCCCCTCCCTGCGACACTGTCTGGTTTGTTGAATCAGATGCTCGATTTTCCCTCTTTGTTTCACAGCTGTTGTTGTCAGCTGCCATCGCCCCTGGTTTGCTGTACTGGGGCTTCTTCCTCGGATCGGCCGTGGATGGCAGCCGCACGCGTTTCCTTGGCGCTCGAGACCCTCGTCGTTTTCCATCACAAGGCCAAGACACCAGCCGCCGCGAAGCCCCGCGCTCCCACGCCGGGAGTATCCAAACCCTGCCCTCTGTAAATGGTGTTCCTGCGGACTGTTCGGCTCGTCTCTGTGTGTTCCACTTTGTGAAAATTGTTGGGGCAAAGCGGGGATGCCAGCCTGCTGATGGGGCACCAAGTTACACACGCTGAGACGAAGAGGAGCGGCGAGCCGCCTGCACAGAGCAGCCACGCAAGCAGCGGCGACGCAGGCCGCAAAGCTGTGAGCGCCCAAGCAAATGGAATACAAGTGACGAGAGATGACCGGGGGTTTCCTATCAACTGCTGCACCGCGGCAACCCGCTTGCTCGCGCCCGCGGGCGCACGCGCGCGCGCGCGCGAATGCCAAAGCTGCCAAAAAGGCACAGCGACCTGCCAACCCCAGACAACGTGGAGGCCGAGGCCGCGGCGGCGCTGCTGCTGCCGCCGTTGCCGCGCCAGGCCGGCGCTGCGTGTGCGGCCACGTGGCGCCCCGGTCCGCAGCTGCTTCGGGCGGCCCACGCACCGCGGCCGAGCAGCGTGCACTGCCGCAGGCGCTGCGCTGACGGCAGCGCACGGCAGTTTGCTGCTGCTGCCCGGCGCCGGCGCCGCCACACGAGCAACGCCGGCCGCCTAGAGCAGCTGCGGCTGCGGCGCCTCGTCACACGAGGCCCTGCCAGCTGCAGCATGGCGGCCCGCCGCGGGTGCTGTTGCTGCCGCCGCGGCACGCGCCGCCGTTGCCGCCTCTGCTACAGGGTTGAAACGTCGCTGCTGCTGCCACACTGGCGGTCAGCAGCGAGCGACCGCCTCCTGCGCGGCGACGCCGCGGGCCCGCCGCCTCCGCCGCCGAGCGCGCCGGCGCCGCGATCAGCCAGCATCTACGGATCCTGGGCCCGCGCAACCGACCCCGCACTGAGTCATCCCAGCGCGGCCAGCTGCCGCGCCAGCTCCTCCACCTCCGCGCGCAGCTTCTCCAGGAAATTGGCGTCCTCCGCCGCCTTCTTGACCAGGGGCTCCCGCAGCTTCCGCGCCTTCTCCATGTCCTTGCGGGCCTTGTCACGCGCCTGTGTGTGTGTGTGTAAGTGTGTTTATGTGTGTGTGTGTGTTTATGTGTGGGTGTGCGTTTATGTGCGTGTTTGGGGGGGGGATGGATCAGATCTCTGCCTGGCCGTGAGTTCAGGGCGGCTGCTGTAGGTGGGGCCCCGGGTCACCTTGCCCTCGAGCTCGGCCCCGTCCTTGTCGTGGGTGGGGTCGCCGCTGGCGGGGTCGAACTTGCTGTACTTGTCAGACAGCTGCTCCTGAGGTGGGGTGGGACGGCGCAGGGG